TCATTACATATTCAAGCATTTTAGAGCCTTTATTGAATTCTTTCAAAGCCCAGCTGACATTAAAATTTTAAGCAAAATTTACTTCATACATCGTGTTAAAAAGTGGGTAAACAAGCAAGCATTACAATTTGTTGCATTTCAAATACTATATAAAATTTAGAAAGGTGCTTATATTTAAGAAAGATTTGTACGTCAAGGCTACCGATTGGTATGCCAGCATCTGTACTTGACTAAATGCCTAAAATTCATAAACTCTCTGCTGCCCAGTAGTCCTTAATAATAATATACGATTCACCGTATAATACTCATGCAAATTATCTGGAAAATGAATATGAATATATGAGAAAATAGACGACAGGCTCTGAGTAAATATTATGTGTCTGATAATGAGAACATACAATGAAAAGCCCTTATTTTACTTATACTCTTCTCCTATTGAAGCACCAGTGATTATCGGTATTGGTAAAAGGAAAATTCTTCTTCCGCTGATATATGTTGTCAAAAGTTCATTGGTTGGAATAATTTACTCCAGAATTAGGAAAATATGTGATATAACTATCAATTTGGCTCCCTTGAAATGTCGCAAATAATTTCAGTTTCCTCACAAAGAGGTTTTATGGTGAATAAACTCAAAGAGAACATAAAAAATTTATTCGCCAATTACTCTTATGCCGAAAGATTTGTTTGATTTCGGCTGGAATCTCTGATTTTAGAAAACATATCTAGACCATATTTGTAAAGTAAAATGTTATTTTTAAATTCATATTTAGCTGTGCTGGCGTTATATGAAGAGACTTATGATAAGACACCATATGCCAAATTGGTGGTGATAAGACTGTATTCATGAGAGTAGCAATCATTTAAAAAATATTAAAGCTTCTAGGATTATCCGCTTGCATTCGGAACAGTGCTTCTTTATTTACTCTTACGTCAAGGCCTGAATTTTTCCAAGATTTTTCTTATAATCTTCTTGTTTAAATCTTTTATAAAGGATTTTGACTTAAATAATTTTCCTGGCGAATTGCTAATAATATGGAGTATACTTCTTAACTTATTCTTGCATCCTTATGTTGTTCTATTCATTGAAGCGGGTATAAAATAATAAATAACTTTTATTATCTTAGGCTTCAACCTTTAGTTTTATTATTCTACCGAGTTAAATATGTCTAATTAGCTATCTCAGACAAGATGGAAACAGTATTTGTTGTCTGTTTACTAAGCTTTCTATTATCGATAAATTAATTAAGGCATCCTATTGATAATCATGTTTAGATATCGTTTTATTTATAATATTCGACTAAAATCTCTCAATCAAATATCACCTAACAAGTTGGAAAGGTTTATTTATGCACTTCCTCACTATATGTATATAACTATTTCATTCTCCATCCCAAAACTAGTTTCAGCAGCTAGAAACATCACTTTATTAATGTCGATAAAGGCTTGAAGAGGCAGGTTAAAGGGATTCGTAACTCGGCCAAATTCAAATTTGAGGGACTATTTTCTTGGAGTTGGAGACAGATTTGTGCGAATAAGTCCCACTACTCCCAGGAATCTATGTAAAGCTTTCATCTGTTATAAGACAGACAGTATCATATAAGGAAGCCTTTCACATAGATTCATCGAAGTCGCTAAACAGTGCGTCGAATGTTTATTCTCATAACTTTACAATCGCAGCTCCAAACAACTCCTCATTTGGTTTCCAGCTAGGCCAATTTACGAATCTCTTTTATTAGCAAATTCAAATTTTCTGAATGGTACCCCAACATCAATCTATTACTTGATCTATTGAAACCCAATTTTCCTTCATGTTATTTTACCAAGTCTTTACTTAATGCAATATCAAAAATAATCGGAATATAGAATATAATTCCTAAGTCTGCCACTCTAAATTTCAATGCTTTTCATGTGTTCACATTAATTTTTTGCGATATTTCTTGTGTATTATTATCACATTAAACTTTTGATACGTTAGTTATATAGTTGTAGATATGACTATATCAAAGTTAACACATCTATTTTGTACTGTTCTATTGATATTCCCCTTCTGTTTGATTTCTTTTTTATATCATCTAGCAACGATCGCTTTTTTGTTGAAGACAGCTGCCCTTTGCAAAGTGTTAGCATGCTCATAGACTTCACTCCACCTGGTTCTTACATAACAAAATCACTAATTGATACTACAATTGATACTAGCGGTAGGACCTCTCCAGAACCTACTGCAAGTAGGCCTCATTATGGTCCCGTTTTTTTAATTTAAAATGATATTTGATATTTATTTACATTAACTCAAGCATTTATGTTATGCTAAATTTTTAATCCAACTAATAATTATAAATAAACAAGAATATTATGGCCATATACATAGGTATTATTGGAACAAGGAAGGGCACATAAATAGACCCAATTAGAAGAATAGTTGGGGATTGAGAAGATAGCACCATGTGGAGAACAAATTTTTTTTGCCGTTGTAATAAGAAGACCATTTTCCTGCCGTCTTAGTCTAAAAATTACCCTTAAATTATTTTTACTAATCCCATCAATATTTTCTTAACTGGGATTACCTTCATGAGTGTATCATAGGCATATGTATTAAAATTTGCTTATGACGAATATGCTTGAAAGCAAACTTGTACGATGTTGGCGTAAATTTTAAAAATATTATTAAGTTATCCACATATTTGACGGCACGTTTATAGTTAATTGGCAGCATCTGAGCTTACCAGAAGAATATCTTACAAGGCTAGTGAATAGATCTTGTTGTTCTAGATAAATTTTATCCTATTTTCACTTCTGAAAGCAACATGTAGCCAATTCCCATTTTTATCTGAGCTTCAGACCTGATGTTGGTAAAATTCCAGTCTATCTATAATTTTTATTTACGTTGTATAAATTGGCTATTGTGACAACCATTTGATCTAATATAAAAGGTGTATCCACCCTATTTTGCCTAAGGGTACATGAATTTTCCTACAATCCTTCCGTTGAATTTCACATACCCTTGCTTCCCAAAACGTATTCTCATCCAGGGTGGATTATAGCTTCGACGCCTCCTGAGTCTCATCAGAACCTCTGGCGGACTGGAACCATGGCATTTCAGTGTATATACTCAATATGTTAACCACTACGCAACATTGTCCCGAGTGCTGGAATTAAAGTTGAAGGAAACCTAAGCCTTTCATCTTTCACATTTCTGTGGTAGGATTGCCGACGCAGCGAAGTTGTATTTGGGCTAGCAGTCGACTAAATCACTTATTTTCGTTTTATAATTAAGTGTTCTAGACTATTAGTATATATAATATAAGAACTTTATTCATATCATTGTAGGAAAAGACAACTAGCATTCTTTTGTCAGGTTGAAGAGAATAATGCTCTTATATTAGATTTACTGTTATCATGGAAAACCTACTTATTAACGGAAAATAAGTAATGCAGTTGATTGCTATAGTAAATAAAACTTTGCCTCATCAAATATTCCACCCAAGAATTTGATAAGGGAAATGCCTAGCCTTCCTTGAAATTCACTTGTGGCCTGTGACCAAAGGGGGCTAATGGTAGTGTAGCGTAGTGGTAAAGTTTTGAGCTTATACACTGCACTCTCACGGTTTGAGTTCCACCGGGGTTGCTGATAAAATCAGTTTAGGCGAGGTCAAAGCTACAGTCCACTCTGCAGTCCCTTGCCTCTCAAAAGCCATTCTCTAGAAGCAAGGCTATGCGAAAGTGCAAGTATGTGGCTAATTTGTCTGATTGTTGGAAAATTCAACTACCAGTCTTTTATTACCTTAAACAAAATTAGGCCAATTAATCTATTTCCAATTTCTACTTGATTCATTCAAATCCAAATAATTCAAAACATATATTCTACTTTCACGTGATATATATTATAATAATTATAAAATAAACCCCTGATTCTCTTTCTGCCCAAACTGCGATAGCTAATCCTCAGACTCCAATGACTCGGGAAGCTGACAAGTATGCGAGGCAAAGCTCACTTCATAACGGCGTTCCAGATGATGAGATTACGTCTGCCTCACTCTTAAACTGCTTTACAGGCAGCATGCGCCGACGTCGGCCAAAAAGTGCTTGTGGCCTGCGGCTTTGGGGCATCAATGACGCACCGACCTCATCAACTCTTGGACCCACAGAGCACACGGCTCAAATGCAGCAGCCATCTTCTAGCCCCAGAACTCCACGTCTGTTACGCCGGATCTCGGGCAGCGTCCGGTCCACCCAAAGTTTGACTCCAGAGCCCGTCGGATTAGCGTTTCCTTTTCGATTAGTACTTATTGGTGGCCATAATCACGGAAACGGGCTCGATACTGGAGGAAATCAATCTAGTCCCAGTGCATGTCAGGAGTGGGTGGAATACAATCTGTTGGCAGAAAGCCTGTAAGTCAGATGCTAGCCAGCTAACAAATTAGTTTGGTATTGGTTTTCCTGAATACTTGTCCTATAAGCCAACTCAACATGCATGGAATATCAACGGAACTTAGGCTCGCAACTTGGTCTTGTTGTCAGGACGACCTAGAGGAACGCACCTTGTCCGGAGTCTACAATATACATGATAATTTACAGGTTCGGATCGTATAGTTGGTACATTCCCGGACCGCCATACTAAGGGCTACACCATCTTGGTCTTCATACCTTCGAAAAAACTTAGGCTGTTTTGGACTATTGGCCAATGAATTCTGTCAAATCCCAACTACGCTTCGCTTAATAATAGCCAATTTCAGAGTCATATGATTAATAGACTACCCTAATCTGAACTATATGAGTCAATTTAGGTGGTGTAATGTGATTTGAAGACTAATATTCGAATTTCCCACGAGTAAGTGCGTCGGCTTTATGATTCCGATTAATTTCATCAAACCATTCCTCCAAAATGGTTTTATGCTCTAGAATGAACATAATATTTTACCTCTCGTATGTCCAACAAGAACCTCTAACGGGATTCGAAACCAAGTCGTGTACATGCTGCAACATGGCGCACACTGCCAGATTTCCAATCTTCTTTAAGGAGCTAAAGGAAATAGGGTAAGCTCGAGAAGCTGGTATAGCCTAGATAAAAAAATATTGATAGGGGCAATACTAACTGAAATTTTATGGCATTGGGAAGCCCCTTAATTAGTTGTGGGAAATTCAACTATTTTTTCTTACATAATCTTATGTGACCTAGTCTGAATCAAGTCCCGATCCATTATCCAGTATGGGCTTCCAAACTATTCTTCAGTGCTTAGTCAGCTAACAAGTATTGCTTTTACCCTTTCCGAGTGAGAATCAGCATGGCATTTTTTAATCGTTTCGATAGCTCTTACATGGGCTATTCATATTTTTGAATATGTAGAAAGTGAAGACTTTTATAGTTAAATTACTGACACAAATGAATCTAGTTTAATATAAGAGAACCCTGACTAATAGCCAATTTAGCGGCATTTATACTATATGCCGTACAAAGTATTTTGGAAGCGATTATAATATCTTTAAATCTTGGTAAAACTGCAAGTGTCCTGTTACCGTACATTTTGAGAAGCTAGCCAAAATTGCAATAAAATACAGCATAGAGGAACCAGATTAAACCTCATAATCAAAGAGAATTGCGCAAAAGTTGACTGATGGGTGCAGGTGCTGCCTACGTGGCATTCCTTAAACTGGGTCCATATTAACAAAATTAACTTAATTACATCGACAGTAATAATTATACATTAGTATATATATACAATAAAATTTAATATTATAGGGAGGTTTCATAACCCTTGGTAGATAATGGATCGAGATTTGTGTAAGCCTAGGTCGCATAAGATTATGTAGGAAAAAACAGTCAAATTTCCCACAATTAACTAAATTGGCTTTGCAATTTCATAATAATATAATATATGGGCCCTTTTATTATACCGCTGGGTTCTTTGAAAATTAGCCTACATTAATGGATCTGCTTACTCAATCAAAACATTCACCTGAACGCTACATTAATGTTTCCCTCTGAATTTTTCTGAAAATCTGTAATATTGTATGGCTCCTTGAGCACTCTCCTTAATTATACTTAATTTTCATCAATGAGCAGACTTTCTTACAGAATTTTCATCGACTTAGGCCCAATTCTGCAATTATAAGATGTACTCATACTTGCATAAATACATCTAGAAGGAAATTGGAGAGCTTTTGTCCTGTCTAATGGTATAATTGCAAGACTCGTTAAATAGAGCTATGTTAGATGTATACGTGCTATTTATTTTAGGGTGGTGAAGGAATAGTAGTTGAATTTTTCAACGATTATATGAGCTGACATTTCTATTAAATTCCATGTAGCCTTGTTTCCCAAAAAGTGTTCTCATCCAGAGCGTACTGCATTTTCCAGCTCACCTAAATCCTAATAACATCTTCAGCGGGACTATAACCATAACAATGCAGCGTGTGATCTCAATTGCTACTGATTTACTGGTAGTCTAGAAACCCAACGCATAAACTAAAAATAAGTGATGTAGCCAATGTAGATCGAAGAATTCAGGGGGGGAAAGAGAAGAGGTACATTTTCACACCAGTGGTTATGACTTCAACCAGACACAGTGCCCCAAAGAATGAGATAAAATGTGGGTAAAGGTGGGAAAGAGGTTAACTGAGTCATAGGTTTGAAGCCTAAGGAGAGGAAGATTCCTATGCCCTGGCATGGACATGGGTATCATCTGCTCTAAATCCTTGAATATGGCGCAATCTGGGACGCCATATTGAAGGCTCTTAGGCAGCCGAATTTGAAACAGTGATTTTGAGGCTTAGTACCGACAAATTGGCAATCGGGGTAGGAGAGATGTGGTTGGCAGAATGGAGATCAGTAGCCCGGGAAGCGACACCTGGTACCGAAGGTGGAGATGATTACGCTTCACTAAACCCACTTATAGCCACACACTCTTAGTTCACAGTGGAGTAAACGAGAGTCTAGAATTGTGTGAATAGATAGAAGGGCCGTATGAAGTGGGGTTGAGAGAAAGAGATGCAGCACTAGAAGCTAGAACAAAAAATAGGGGCGAGGAGTGATGCCCCAACGGGTGAACCTAAAAGTGGTCAAGGAGATTGCGCCACTTGTCACTTTGATTAGCTGTAACTCTGTGCTTATGATGGCATTTCGCATTGACGATGCCGACTAGGATATTGAAAGAACGTTTGGGAATGTACCAAGTCAATGGTCAGATGCTGGAAATCACGAATACTTTGACCAAAGACACATGTCTAGCTACAGTCCACAAGGTCTCCCTAATGCTCCGGCCAATTTGCGAACACGAGGTTGAAGCAACACAAAATAACACATTCTTTATTGTGAGTATCGAAGAAGCAAAGTTATATTTGCTATAACAATTGACTGTATTACTTATTTTTCGTTTTATAGGTAGAGTTTCGAAATTACTAGTAAGTCAGTTATATGAAATGTAGTCTCGAAACTCTGCTTATAAAACGGAAAATAAGTAATGTAGTCGATTGTTATAGGAAATATTAATTTGCTTCATCGACACTCCCAACAGAGAATGTGATATTGAAAAATGCCTTGCATTTCTTTAAATTCACATTTGTCCTCTGTCTCGAGGGCACTCGTGAAAATGCGGCGTAGATATTAACATTTCGTGATTATACGCAGCATTGTCATGGTTCCACTTCGGCTGAGGGTATTGATAAGACCTAGGCTATATCAAAACAGCGGTCTACCCTTGAATAGAAAACCTTTTGGGAAAGCAAGACTATGTGAAACTCCCTAGAAACATATCACTGTGGGAAAATTGAATTAACAGTGCTTCATTACCTCAAATTAAATAGGGTGTATATATCTCATATAACTCATTTACATCTAGTCTCGAAACCCTACTTTGCAATAAAGCTATTAATTCATTTTAACAAAAAAATGGTTCTGACCATATTTAGCAGTCCATCTAAATCGCATTTCCATTTTGCTAATGAAGCCAGTGTTGTGGTACCGTAAAGGTGTCTTGTTTTTCCCATGATCTTCAAGTCAAATCAATCTACAAGACATTCTTCTTCCGTCCCAGGAACAATAGCTGAACTTTCGTTTATCGTTCAACTTTAAAGTCATCTTTCATGTTAGATTTATTTTTTGTAAAATGCTATAATTAACCCTATGTCAAAATAACTAACCGGCTCTTCCTTATATGTCATATATGCTCAAAATAACGCCAAAAAAAGAGCTAAAAGAAGCTTTAACTTTTCGGATTTTTTAATCGAAACCTTGAATATTAAACACTGCTTATAGCATTTTAAGAGTGTACCATGCCAGATTTGAATGTTTGTATAGTCATCCAGATATAAGTGGTACGAAGAGATACAATAAAAAATACAATTTTTTTTCATTAGGCGCATCTTCTTCGTCAGGCCAAAAGTGCACGCTACGTTGAGGCAAATTAACTATTATTAGATCTGATAATGT